CTGGCTAATTTTTGTATTTTTAGTGCAGACGGGGTTTCACCATGTTAGCCAAGCTGGTCTCGACCTCCTAACCTCAGGTGATCTGCCTGCCTCATCCTCCCAAAGTGTTGGGATTACAGGCATGAGCCTCTGTGCCTGGCCTGGATCATTTATTATATATTTGTATTTCCATCCATGCCCTCACTTAGCTACCAAGTACTGCCAGATAAATATCTTGTTCTTTTTATGTTCAAAGATGATACAGCTGTGTTTATGAACTCTAATTTCTACTTAAGGTATAATGAATTTTCTAAATAAAAATAAAGAACAGGTTACTCTGCCCTTGGAGCAGCCATATTCCTTGACTTTCTTAATAAACTTGTTTTCCCTTTAAAAAAAAAATAAGGAACAGAATTAGCAAATAGTAACCTGTCAAATACCTGGAACATTTATGTACCAAGAATTTCAGTTTTTTATGATAAGAAGGCATTTTTCAGAGCCAATTCATTTAGCTCCCTTGGTTCTATTTCCAAAAGTACAATACCAACATGCAATAATAAAAATTCTATTTATGCCTTTTCTTATCATGCAAGACACAAGAGGTTTTAAAAATCTTCTGAAATCCTCAAGAGTAAATGATGGTTTTGTGAAAAAGTAAAAGTGATCTGTCCTTATATCCAAGAAGTTTGAATAAGCAAACTTTGAGATACTTATTATTACAGTCACCTCACACAAATGTGGCCTTCTATTGAGGCCACTAAAGTAACATAAAGACCAAGACATTCAAAGGTTTGTTAGATAAGCTTTGCTTAACACTTAGACCCATATTTTTAAAAAGCTGATTATGGCCAGGCCTGGTGGCTCATGCCTATAAACCCCAGCACTTTGGGAGGCCAAAGAAGGTAGATCACCTGAGGTCAGGAGTCCGCGTGGCCAACATGGCAAAACTCCTTTGCTACTAAAAATACAAAATACAAAAATTAGCCAGACATGGTGCATGCCTGTAGTCCCAGCTACTTGGGAGGCTGAGGCAGGAGAATCACTTGAACCCAGGACGAGGAGGTGGCAGTGAGCCAAGATCATGCTCTCCACGATCTGCCCTCCAACCTGGGTGACAGAGTGAGACTCAGTCTCAACAAAAACAAAACAAAGCTGATTATGCTCTAAGACACAGCTAACTTCAAAGTGATCGTATGTGAACTCAACTATGCTGTAGCTATCATCGTTACTGACATACAAAGCTTTTTTTTTTTTTGAGACGGAGTTTTGCTCTTGTTGCCTAGGCTGGAGGCTAGAGGGCAGTGGCGTGATCTCAGCTCACTGCAACCTCCACCTCCCAGGTTCAAGTGGTTCTCCTGCTTCAGCCTCCTGAGTAGATGGGATTAAAGATGCCCACCACCACACCTGGCTAATTTTTTGTATTTTTAGTAGAGACAGGGTTTCACTATGTTGGCCAGGCTGATATCGAACTCCTAACCTCAGGCGATCTACCTGCCTCAGCCTACCAAAGTGCTGGGATTGCAGGTGTGAGCCACCGTGCCTGGCCTAGAAGAACCTTTTTAAATCTCTCCATTGTACTTATAGCACCTCGTACACCTACAATTTATCCCATAACAACAGTTAAACAACAGTATAGTTATCTTTTTCATGGTAAGTCTCCCATATCATCATTTATGGACTTTTGGGAGGAGAGAAGGAAGAAAGGAAGAGCAGACTGCTTGAGAGTACAGAATTCTGGACATGCTGCTAAGAATTTGAACAACATTGCCACTGTGCACCCCCTACAAAAGCCATGCAGTTAATGTATGGCCATTTTCTGTTGTCTTCAAAGCTCCCTTTCACTTCCTTAATTTTTTAATTACTCATGCTTCACTTCCAGAAATAACTTGCTTGTCCCTTTGTCCTTAGTGCAGCATACCAAGATGACCAGAGAAGAGCAAAATCTGTGGGTGAGACTGGTAAGGAGTGCAGGAGAAAAGAAGCACTCATTCTCCTTTCCCCACTGGCCAAGGAAGTGCTCCAAACCACTGTCCTGTATCCCATTTGCAGTGATACATTAGCTTGGTAAAAGGAGAGAGAAAGTCAATCTTAGTTATTCTAAGGACAAGCTAGCCAAGCTAGCATTACACTTGCTTCATTTTTCTCTTAGAAAATAATTCTTAAGGCCCGGGCACAGTGGCTCACGCCTGTAATCCCAGCACTTTGGGAGGCTGAGGCGGGTGGATCACGAGGTCAGAAGTTCAAGACCAGCCTGGACAACATAGTTAAACCCCATCTCTACTAAAAATATATTAAAAAAATTAGCTGGGTGTGGTGGCAGGCACCTGTAGTCCCAGCTACTTGGGAGGCTGAGGCAGGAGAATCGCTTGAACCTGGGAGGCAGAGGTTGCAGTGAGCCGAGATTGCACCATTGCACTCCAGTGTGAGTGACACAGCCAGACTCTATCTCAAAAAAAAAAAAAAAAATTATTAAAATATTTTTATTCACTGTATCAGATGAACAAAAGAATTGTGTGATAAATATTTGAAGAAACTTGATGAGTACTTATTGCTGTTATATGCATGATTTTATAATATAAAGGATAGCTTTATATGCTTTACAATATCTCAGCAGTTTTACTACACTTGCATTGTTGCAAACTATTTAAAT